GCACCCTTGTCATGCAATGCTGCGGAGGTCAGAAGAGGGCTTTGGATTCCCCTGGAACTGGAGTTAAAGACAGTTCGTAGCTACCATGTGGGTGCTGGGAATCGAACCTGGGTCCTCTGCAAGAGCAGTCAGTGCTCTTAACCACTGGAGCCATCTCTCCAACTTCTACATGTATATATTTTTAATATATTCCCATTCATTACATTCTCTTGTCTCCTTCCCACTCCTGTTGATCCCCCTTTTCTTCCCAAATAGTCCCCCTTTATGCATTCATGTCTTTTTTGGGGAGAGGGTTTGTGTATACAAATGTGAGGGGTTATTTACAGGAGCACGGACACCTTATCAGCGGCTACACCACTGAAGGAATACCTCTCTCATCCAGCAACTATTAACCGCCTATAAATCTGCAGTGATGGGTGCAGCCTTGTGAGCCCCATTCCATGACAGGATTTTGAGGGGTCTGATCTCATACAAATCTTGTAGAGGTAATCACAGCTGCTGTGAGTTTAGGAGTGCAGTAGCCATAGCATCCCCGGAAGACTTGTCCCACAAAATTCAACCCCTTCCTCCATCACTTTCATTCTTTCCACTCCTTCCATCATGTTCTGTAAGCCAGGGGAGGTATAGATGTCCCATTTAGGGCTGAGCATTCAACAGCTACTTATTCTCATCACTGACCAGTTATGAGTCTCTGCAGCTACCAGTGCCCACTGCAAAAAAGAAGCATCTTTGACTAAAACTCAGAGCAACGGTAATTTGTGGTCATAAACACAATGATTTACCAAAACAGCAGCAGTAGCTTCTCCACTAGGGCCTGTAACCTTCCCAGCCACAGGCTTTTCACCAGGTTTTTAGTACTAGACATGAATTCCTCCTATGGAGCTGGTATCAAATCCAATCAGAAAGCAGTTGACTACCCTTGTAACAAACTTGCCACCATTGCACCAGTGAGCATTGTCCTAGTTAGCTTTCTGTTTCTATGGTAAAGTACTAAAAACCAAAGGGAAGGGCTTTATTTCTGCTTACAGTACAGTCTTTCATTGACGGAAGCCAGGGCAGGAGTTCAAATAGGAACCTGGAGGCAGGAACTGAAATAGACTACAGAGGAGCACTGCTTACTGTCTTGCTCTCCTGACTTGTGCTCAGCTTCCCTTGTTATACAACCTTGGACCACCTGCCCAGGGGTGGCACCACTCACAGTGGGCTGGCCCTCCCACATCACTCAATAGTCAAAAAAAAAAATGTGTCACAGACACAGACATAGGCCAATTCAACAGAGGTAATTCCCCAATTGAGGTTCCTCCTTCCCAGATGAGTCAACCATGACAGACATCTCTTACGTACCTGGCCAGTAATGTAGCATGCAGGGTCCACAGCCAAGCAAAACTTGGTGGCAGTTCTTTCCCAACAACCTACATAGTACCTTCGGGCACTATGAAGGCTAATCAGTAGGGAGGAAGCTTTCTGCTCAGTTCTAGCTAGATTTCTTTCTTTCTTTTTTTTTTGGTGTTTTTGACACAGGGTCTCCTGTAGCCCCAGCTGGCCTGGAACTCGATATGTAGACCAGGCTGGCCTTGAACTCACAGAGATCGGCCTGCCTCTGCCTCCTGAGTGCTGGGATTAAAGGTGTGCGCCACCATGCCCAGCTCTAGCTACATTTCTTTACATTTTATGACTAAAACATGTGGTGTTTTCAGCTACAGGCTGTACCATCTTCTGGTGGGCAGCAAACAATACTGCAAGACATCTTAATTTGCAACTGGACATCATGTGCCTTAAGGGCTTGCCTGTTGGGGCTGCCTCATTGCTTGGAGATGGGGGGATGTCATTGGTTGTTGTAAGCATTGTAGTTTTTCCAAAGGTACTTTAACCCAGGCAGCAAGCCCTTGGAACTGGATTCCCGCTTTTGGGAGCTCCAAGTCAGCATCATGCAGTGTGAGCTCCTGATGCTGAGAGTTCTGCGGTTCCATGTCTCCTTCTAGCATCCACATAAGATATGCATGTACTGGATGCTAGTAACTGGTTCCAGTGGCTTGAACCAGCCTTTCCAGGATTTTTTGTTTCATATCCTCGTAGCACATCCCCTCCTGTGCACAGGAGCATGGCATGTGAGGAGGAGCAGGGCCATGGGAAGCTGGGAACTGGGACTTGTGACTCCACACCCCACAGTGGGTCAGCTGACCCCCTTCCCCCACCTTAGGCTGTTCTCAGTTCTCGTTTCAGCCTCTGCCTTTCTGTGTACTTTTCCATGGCCATAGTTGGGGCTTCTGCTGTTCTCTGAAGCCACTGTAATTCCTGAAGCCTGTTTAGATTTGTGCTCACTGAGCCTCAGAGCATCAGGGCTGGCTGGCTTTGTAACCAGTTGAAGTCCCTGTCCCCATGAGTCCCTGTCCCCATGAAGTCCCTGTCCCCATGAGCATCTGGCTCCACTGTACTTTGAAACCCATGGGAAGAGCCAGTTGCTGAGTTAAGTTGCATCCCTTTAATTTCCGGGATATAGAAGTCTCAACAGAAGACTATTTATAAAGGCCGCAGAGGGAAAGGCCCACTCTGAGACGCACCACTTTGGTGCTTTAGGTCCATGTGTAGGCAGCTGGAAGGATGGCCTGCAGAGGAGGGAGCTCAGGCTTGGGCTCAGGGCTAGGGTTTCTGGTCTTTAGATGGAATTTTTATGAAGGTGATTGTAGACTGATATGCAGCTGGAAGGAATACTGCAGAGTGATCCCATTTGCCTGCCCTTTGTCTCCTCTTCTAGTGGGAACACTGTGCCAGACTATAACCAAGTGCCAGGATGGTGACAGCCACACAGGCTACTGGTTTTCTGCATATTTAGTTCTATATGATTTCTCTATATTGACATATTCACCATCAGAGCCAGGTATGAAACAGCTCCAGTCACACAAGTGTTCTTTTGGCTCCTACTCTCACCCCAACCCCTCCTAACCCCAAGAAGCTCTGGTCTTGGGTTTCTACACAGTAATTTTTACTGGACAGAATGCCCAATCAGCATCCTAAGAGAAGGTGGGAACTGCATGCTGGTCGCTGTGTAGTGGGGTCATCAAGACAACAAATCTTGGAAAGGAACAGCATTCTGGCCTTGGGTGGTGGGTGTTGCTGGGACCCTGTGCCCTCCTCTTTCTCTAGGCAGATGACAGTCTTAAGTGACAAGAGCTGCTTCTCTGGGGCATGCCTGTATCACATGCACATAGAAGACTGTCCAGGTACTGAATGGTATATTTCTATACTTAGTGGGTTCAGGCCAAGCATCTGTCTTCTGAGGGTAGGAACTGACCTGTAAACTGGGAAATTATGGAGATGTAGCTGAGGCTGCCATTACTTTGGGTCTTTCATATGACCTGGAAAAACAGTTACTAGTCTCTGATC